TGCGAGCGGTGGGCAGAAAACCTATTAACAGTTGCGAAAACACTTGCTACAAATTGCTGCCGTGCAATTTGTTCGATTTGCAAGCACTAAAAAAGAAAATTTGAATAATATTGAAATTTATTAATATTATCTACTTAGTCTGTCGTACATACTACGTAGTTATATCTGATTTGGGGCGAAAAAATAGGCATTTTTCTCATGGTCTTTATTTTATTTAATTGCCTGCTATTTACATACAATGACATAATTATTGCAAGGCCTTGCTGAAAGACTGTTTTCAGACCAGGACAGTACTCTATAGGATTATAGGAATATATTATATTAAATTATATTATATTGTATTATAGGTATACACCCTGAACTATATTATTAAGACCAAACTTCACATTTCTTCATCCAAATGATGTCCATCTTTCTAAATAAATCTTCAATTCTGATCTTAAAGCTAGCTCAGAATAAGTATGTGCGATTTGTTTTGTGAATTAAACTAAACATCAATCGATAGCTATAGCTATATATGGCCCCAGGTGATCAAAAATATGGACAATATTTATTGACATAATTTCAAATATAGAAGAAAAAAAAGATTTCTGATAAAACTTTTTATGCCACATCCATGCAATTTTGCTAAACCATAGAAATCTGATATCGTAAACTGGGTGTACTGAAACATTTTTTACGTAACTTTTGCACTTTCTTTGGTATTGATCTATCAATAATATTTTATTTAATTTATTTAACAAACCAGACACCAAATGATTTACCCACTTATAAGTAGGTTGCACACATAGAAGAAATGATGGCAACAAGATACATTACATAGTTTCTCTTCATGTGGTTATGGTTTTACTTTCCTTATGACATAATGTATATTTTTGCGTGCTTTTTCGTAGGCACGTCCACTTCATTTAGATACTAAAAGATTCCTTTAGATTTTTAATCAGTACGTGTAGGTATCGTACGAAAGGTTATGTAATACTTTCTTTAATTAAAGTTTGTCTTAAACTATCTTAACACTAAAATGTTTAGAAGAAGGATTTTGTCGCATTAATAGTACCTATATTATGTATTAAGTTTTATAGACGTAATTTTAGTTACGAGTTTAATTAGGCGAGCGAAGCTTGCGAGCGAGTGTTTAATAAAACCGGGTGTGTAGAGAAGTTTATAAAACGCGTTGCATACTATACTTTATCTACAACGAACATATAGAAGTTTTTAAAGCCAATTTTATTTGTTAAACATTTGACATCTGTCAACTTTTGACGGATTTAACCTCACTTTTCCGTAATTTATAATAAAGCTAACTTTATCCCTTGACTAAAATGCCCAAAAGCTACTATTGCTAACTTCAGCCTGTGACTAAAACACCATAAAGTCACAGCTCGTCAATGTAGGAGTACCTAGATAAAAATAGATACCTACATATACAGGGTGAGCCTTTTAACTTGAAACTTTAAAATATCCAAGTAAATAGGCATTTCACAAAAAAAAAACTTAAGTGAAAATTAAATGATTCGAGGGAGGAAATAAATTAGTACCAAAATTATTCCCCATCCTTATAAAATTTACAATGGAACACCCTATTTTTTATTGCAGAATTGGATCATTCGACTTAAAAAAGTTAAAGAAGAAACATTTTTTCGTATTTGTAAAAGATAACGCTGTAATAAAAAAAAACAATGTTGTTCTCTGTATACAATTCTGCAATAATTTTTCAAAACAAATACATATATATGTAAGTAATGTATCACTTTTTCATTGAAAATAATTATCTTATTGAATTAAATCTAAAAGTACGATTTTTTAACTAAAGTTATAGTCTTATATATTATTTCATTTAATCAAGAATAATCAGTCCGGCTCTAAGGCGCAATTGGCTACTTTTTTCCTAGGGTGCAAAAAACGAAATAACCTTTACAAACAATTATACTTAGTTAAAAAATAAAAAAAAAATTGAAAATTAATTTGCAAACAAAAAGACCTGTTTTCGTTGAGCATTTAGGTATTCATAATGGATTTTTTAACAGGGGAAGAAAAAATAAAAATGGTTTTGATTTATTAAGAAGCAGGCAGAAATCTTGATGATGCTGGTAATATCATTGGAAATTTTCAACAAAAGAAAGTTCGTCGAGCAACATTTGGTGAAAATAATGAAATTAATGCTGATAATCCTCATGCAAGCACACGAGAATTATCTCGCGATTCCGGAATATCCCAGAGCAGTGTTAGCAAAATAAGAAAACGAAATAAATACCATCCTTACCAACTTTCGTTACATCAGGAGCTTCATGGTTTGAATGTTCAAAATCGGGTTATTTTTGGCAGTACACATGTAAACAAATAAAACAATTTCCAAATTTTTTCCATTTTGTATTGTTCTCAAACGAGTTGTCTTTTACGAACCACGGAACAGTAAATCGGCAGAACATGCATTACTGGAGTGTTTTGGCCGCAATAAAGCCTGATTTATAGATTGCCTTCTTTCCTTCCTCCCATAAAAGATGAAAAATATGGAAACCGTAGTGCTGTTTATAGATTCCTGTAGGGGCGTGCTGGGCCGCCGGGACACCGGGAGAAATCCCGGTGGGCCGGTGGTCCGGAGGGCTAAGTGGGCCGGTGTGCCGGAGGGCTATGTAGGCAGCATGCCGCAGCACGTGGTCAATTAAAAACTTTTTTAGTTGAGTTATGTATAAATATCATAATTATTTTACACATACCATGCATGCCAGCCTGCCAGCTTTGTTTCTTTTTTCGAGATTGTATATAAGTTTCCTGAGCGATGATAATTTGTATTAGTTTTTATTTTAAGTGCAATGCTATATGTTTTAGCATTGTGTAAAATTTTGTCTGGTTGTGTTTGTTGCCTGTTTTTTTTTCAAGAATTTAATTTATACTTGTTATTAATTATTAATATATTAATAAATGTTTGAAATTTTTTAACTTGGTTTTGTTCACCCCCCATTTTTTGTGTGTAGTTGGCCGATTTTTCTGAATTTCCCGGGCCGGTCTGATATAGCCAGCACGCCCCTGGATTCCTGTACGGTAATCTATAAACAGCACTACGGTTTTCGTATTGTTCATCTTTTGCGGGAGGAAGGAAGGAAGGCAATCTATAAATTAGGCTTAAAGCGCCTTTTCCCGCTTTAATATTGGCGGCTTAATTTTTTATATGAGTATCAAAATAAAAGAAGAAAAATTGTAATATTTTTAATATTTATTTGATAGTTGCAGTTGACGGTAGCAAAGTTTAACAGTAGTCTACACATGCATGTATGACTTTAAAGTCAATTGTAACGAGGTTACATCACTAAAACCAGTTGTAGTTATTATATTATTTATATAGTTAACAAGTGTTGAAAAGCGACTTTTTCATGCGAGTGTTTAAGTGTGCATTAACAAGAGCTTGAAGAAAGCTCTTCTCACAAGTGAAACACAATGTTTTTTCTACGACCCTTTTATTTTTTATTATATTCAAAAACAAAACAAAATAACCTAAAAACGTGTTTGACAGCTGTTAAAATTACTTTCATCTTATTCTTTTAATTTTTAAGGTATAAGTTACTTAATAGTATATTAAAGAACTAATGTCATACGACGTCATTGTCGCACGCGGACAATTTAAAATTTTTTGTAATGGACGAGTGCGACAAAAGGTCTTATGACATGAGTTCTTTATGCTATTTTATCTATTTTGCAAAAATTCTTTAAAAAATAGTATATTAAAGAACTAATGTCATAAGACGTCATTTTGTCGCACGCGGACAATTTATAAAACGAGCGACGAAGGAGCGAGTTTTGTAATGAACGATGATGAAGGTCTTATGACATGAGTTCTTTATGCTATTTTATCTAGGCAGAAATTCTATAAAAAAATTAATTTTATACCTTAAATTTAATTTGGTCGAATTTTACTTTATAGTTGGTATCAGTCATTGATTTGACAGTTAATGTCAAAATCGATTCCCCATACCGTCCTTAATTTACTTATTTACAATAAGCGGCTGTTAATGTTAAAGAAGAAAAAAGGATTTACCTACTCAATTTAAATGAAGGCACTAAAAATTAGAATTTATTATACAAACACAATTAATTGTGTTCTTAATAATATTTAGACATACATATACAAATACAATATAAATTTTGAAACGAATGTCAAAGGATGCTGTCAATTTCTTTTCACACAGACCTGTCACTTTTCACACAGAAATGTCAGTTTACATTCGTGGTTTGCCTTGCCAATAAAAAGATTCATTTTCTAAGCAACGATGTCATTACGAAATGTGATTTTTACATAGTGATCATAAAAAAAATATTTTATTTAATTTTGTTTTTTTTGGTTATTTATTAAATATTTTTTATATTTAATTCCAGCACATTTTTTACATTTTCAAGTACAAATTGCCAGTTTGTCGCAAAATATATATTTTATTAAATTTTAGGGCTTAAAATTAAAATATTTAATGTATTAAGTATATTTAAGTATAAAAATTCAGACACCCCAGGAACGGGCCTGTCAACAAGTACCAGCAATTGAGCAAATTAGAATTGTGCATTGAAGTCGAAGGTCACCATTTTGAGCACCTACTTTAATAAAAATTAGAAAAAAAATTGAGCTAAATTTGTATTAATAATAATGATAACCAACAAGTTTTCTATAGAAAAATTATTGCAGAATCGTATACAGAAGAAAAATCGAACAAAATTGATTTTTCTATTACTGCGCCATCTCAAATATGAAAAAATGTTTTAGATCAAATCTACCTATTTTTAGTTGAATGATCCGAATCTGCAATAAAGAATAGGGTGTTCCATTGGAAATTTTTATGTTACCCTATGCCCTCCCTATAAGGATGAGAGTATGGGGAATAATTTTACTATTAATTTATTTTTCCCCTCGAAACAATTAATTTTTATTTTAAAGTTTTAAGTTAAAAAACTCACCCTGCATAACAAAAAAAGAAAGACAATAAAATCTAATTTTCTTAAATTTTCTGTTTCAGGATGGTTTTCTTTGACTAACGACAAAGGCGAAAGGAGTGCCATATGTCACACGTCAATTTTACATCTAGTACGTGAGCAAGTCTGTTCTTTTGTCAGCATGCAGCCGTTCACGGCCTACGCTGCTCATACATCAGAAACGCAAGGTAAGGGAATCCACCATTTTTTGAAAAATAAAAATGTGGAAACAAATTTCATTGCCTGTCGTATCTATGGTATAACATCTTAATTAGCAGTAATATTAGCATATGGTCAAAGTAAAAAAACGCATGCTGCAGCAATTAGATTTTATTTGTAATTGGATATCGTCTTAATCTTTTTCAAACGCGTGCGTTTTCTAATTCGTTTTTATGACGACATACACAGTGATACGTGCTCAATTTACCTGCTCGGATCGGATAATCACCAAGAAAGCTGATATTACAAGTGTTGACATTTTTTTATTGTTGCTTAGATGGGAAGATTCAGTACGTAAAAACGCAAGTAAGAGGGGGACAATTATTTCAATTGAGGGCTGTTTTTCAACACAAGGATAGGCCTGATGAAATGGGAGGGAGGAATTCAACAAGGTCCTCCAGGATATCAAGGAATATTCGGGATAAGGACCTCAATAATAGATATGCTCAACTAGTTAGCCAAAACAACCAGGTAAGTAACAACAAGTATTTTCAGTTTATTAAATATCTATACTAAAAACTTTATGTTAAATTTTGTTAAATAGCAAAAAACTTTTCATAAGATATTTATTATATTTAACACTAGACCAATTTTGTTATATATAAACGAAAATGTCCCACAAAGATAGAAATAAAATCGTAAAAAAACTTCCTCTACATTATTGATTACTTTTTTTAATAACAATTTAGGTAATTATTATTAGTTGCGACTTCTTTTAGAAATTAAATCGAAATTATAATAACCTTTTTCCTGCTCTGGTAAATTTCGTTATTGAGATTTTAAATTATTGTTAATATTTTATATAAAGAAAAACATAAATATTTCTATATATTTATATGGTAAAACTAAATGTTTGACTTTTTTCTGAATTCCATTAATATCTTACTTAATTTGATATTTCCTTTAATACTGAAATTGTGAAAAACCGTTTCGCAATTCCGTTTGAACTTTTAATTTTTTTCAATTCTTTTAATTCGCTTAATAGCTCTGAAATAACCATCGGCATTTTTATTGAAATTACTCTTAGCAATTGAATTTAGTAGAAAAACTTTCCCTAATGCGAATAGTAAGTAATTATGTAATTTACAATCCATTAAAAAATTATGTTTTTAGGAACTGTACGTCCAACTTACGACCAAAGGGGAATTTTACGAAATACACAGTTCAATGAAGGCAAAACTATGCTTTCCGGGGATGTTGGACAAAACTGGACCTTTAGCTTTGGATAAAGATTGTCTTTACAAAATCACTCATCTATTAAGACGAGTAGCATTACCTTTACGAGTGAAACTAGTTCTGGGCACCTTACCGCCAGGCTTACCTAAAGATTACACAGGTAATAAAACAGATGTCAACTTGTTTCGTCTCGCGTGCTATTTATATTTACAATTATAAAAAACAATGGTGAGATGTAACTTTTACAAGACAAACAATTAACATTCACAAAGCATCCTACTCTCTAAAAATGAATTAGTCAAAAATGATTAGTTACTACAGTTATTATACCATGGTATCCCCTACATTTAACAGCCAATTCTTATGTAAAATTGTCAAAAATTATGAAAGTAGAGCAGTTTTTGAGATATAGTCAATTCCATATTATATGGAAAATTGACTATATCTCAAAAACTGTTCTACTTTTATAACCTTTGACGACTTTTGAAAATTGAAAATTGACTGCTAAATATTCGGGATACAAATTGCTATTGACGAGAATTATTAGTGGGTGCTATTTTGCTATGCCAATTAGTCATTTTTAACTAATTCAATTTTAGAGAGTTCTTTTAAAAAAATACAGTAGTAATGTTTTTTCAGAAACTTTTATCTTGGAGCGAAAATTCCAAGAACCTCTTATGGTGACCTGCACCCTCCCCCCTCCAACAGCAGACGCGAGACACCACATATCCTGCATAAACATCAATTCCAACCTAAAAATCTCCAAATGTGCTTTGGGTTTTGATTCCGAAAACAGATTATTCAAATCGCAACGTCTACAGGCAGCCTTGGCTTTCTGTCACAAAAACGTGGAAAACTGGTATAGAGAGGTGAGGTTGGAAGCAAATTTAAAACCCCAAGAAGATGCGAATTTGAAAGATGAGTGTTCTGAGTGTGTTAAAGTCGATAGTCTTTGTTTGGAGCACGAAGTAAAACCAGCGATGGAAGAAATATACTCTGACAAACAGATTATCACCAAGGAAGCGCTAGAAAAGTTTCCAAAGCCGAAAAAATGGTATAAGCATTTTAAGTTTCTTGGAGGAAGTGATACTCAGGTGAAGTACCCTGATCTTAAAGACCCCATGGAAGGGATTGAGAAAGGAAAAAGTATAGAACGCTACAAAGATATGTCGAAATTGATTGAAGAGAAGTTTGGTAAAAAGAGTTATAACCCTGTTAAAAAATCGGCCAGTTTTATGTTCTCAACTAAAAGAATCGATTTGGAGGAAATGCCGCAAAAAAATAATGCTGCTTTATTGAAATGTCAAAGTTTGGATACTCAGTTGAGTACAACAGGTGCTTACAGCCACCATAATAGAAGAAACTCCAAATCAAACGAATCTGATAGTTTAAGCTACGATTTTCAGATGTGTATATTAGATAATGATAATAGTTTGGTGGAAAATAGGAAACACAATAGAATCAGGAGTGAAAATGACTTAAGGCATCGAAGTTTCAAAATAACCGAAATCAATTTAGACGAAATAAAACCTGTTGAAAACAAAATGAAGAAAAATAAACCAGATTTAATACCCACACTACCAAAAGATGACGACAACTCTTTCATCACGGAAAGACTTTGTTCCGAATTCCACGTCAAAACGAAAATACAGAAGAAACCCTTAAGGCATAGCGGCCGCTTCCAGCAAACCCCCTTAACAATTTTCAACGAAGATCACAAAAAATCTGTGACCGTACAAATCCACGAGGCAAAACCTCCCAACAAAAAAACCGTTAAATCGCAATTTAACTTAGAAGACGTCCCGTATAGTCACGTGGCCGACCAAGTGTCAGACCTACCTTCGGGTACGAAAGACGAAAACATTTACGCGGAAATATGCGAAACCCGGCCCTGTCAATGTGATAGCAAACTGTGCACGTGCAGCAAAAGAACTAACAGTGAATATTGCTACGTCAAATTGGGCTCGAACGGCGACTCGGTCACTCAGTCAGACTCTGACGAAGCCATTTACAACACCTTAAGATAAAATTGTATGTTCTATATTAATAAATTGTATATTTTTGTATATATCCTGTATTCTGTAATTATTTACTCTATTTTAATTTAATTTAATTTGTACAATATATATTTTAAATACTTATAAAAAGTTTTTTTTAATCGTATTGTTATTTTTTCTACTCCTATTGCATAATATTGACATAATTTGGGTTTTTCCTATATAATGGTAACCATTATAACCGCCCCTAACAACGGGGAATAATGAAATCATTATCCACGTTATTCACGTTGCTAGGCTAAGGTGACCAATCGTTCTGATTTAACCAGAACTATACTGTTTTTGAGAACCATGTTCTGGTTGTAAATTTAGTAAAGTAAAAGTTTTTCAAAAGCTTTTCTGTTTTCATACCTAATACTAACACATTCGCGGACACGACTGCTATTGCAGACACATGTGTAGGGACACGACTGCAATTGCAGACAAATTTTAAACCACAGAAAAACGCATGTCTGCATTATCAGTCGCTATTTTCTATTAAATACGTATGAATGGAAGCATATTGTCCCTGTACATCAAGTTTTTTAGCAGAAAAGTGTCCCTCTAAGTGATAAATTTTAAGGTTAAATATATAGTTTCCGCGCAGATTGTTTTCTCACGAAAAGCGTCATGTCTGCAAAAGCAGACAGTAGCTTCATAACGGCCAATGGAAGAGGTTATGAAGTGTCCCTGTAAATTTCGATTTTATTTTGTTGTTTTTAAATGTTATTATAAGTTGTTTTTTTCGATTTTAACTCTCGGTAAGTACCTACTATATTTTTAATAAGGGTTTGTTCAAATATTTTTATTTATTTTTATTCTAAGGAAATATTTCTGCCTAAGCTAAATACGGTTTTTTATATTTGGTTATAAAATTTTAATAATCATAAATATATAATATTATAAATTATAAATATATAATAATATTATATATATTATATTATATAGTATATATATATATATATATATTCAATATATAAAATGGTTTTTGAATAAATATACGTATAAGATCATTGGCAAAAGAGATGATGTTTCGTATTGCCATATAGGGATACGTAAATTACGTAATACGTCATTTCTTCAGAGCCTGAGGGTGATAGATCAAGCAGTACTAGTATAGAAGATCCATTTGCTGGTTCAGATGACAAAGACTTGGATTAAAAGTTTATTTTGTTGTAGTTTTTATTATTTATTTGAATAAAGTTTATGTTTTTTACGATTTTCTTCTTATTACCGAAACCGGCATTTAGTTTATTAACGTCTGCAATTACAGACGCATGTCCCTTAATATAACATTTTGAGATATACAAGGACGTGTCTGTTATAGCAGACGTCTGCAATTGCAGACAAAAGTTGGTGTGTTTTTGAGTAACCTCTAAAATCTGGAAGTGTCCGCGAATGTGCTAATTAAGCCATAAACATAAAATTATATTTTCAACTTTGCCAGATTTTTCGCCCAATCGTGCAACCCTGCTCGCCCTACTCCCACTAAATACATTCCCGTTGGCGTTCGCACTTGGCTCTCCCCAACAAACTAATAGTTCGGAACTATTTTAGTATTGCGCATGTCCCTGACGTCTGCGCGTTTTATTGTGGTTAAATATTGTAATATCTATTGTTTTTTTATATTTAAAACTCTAAATAATATGCCTCTGCAAAGAGGAAAATGCATCTTTAATGCAGAAATGCAAAATAATTACCCATATTGTTGTGTTTATCTTGAACAAATAGTCATGTAGAGAAAGTTTTTTCCAATTTGAACAACTTTTGGACAAAAGACAAATCACAATTGCATATTAAAACACTAAAATCATTATTAATTGTTAAAGCTAATTTCGATCAAACATGCTTTAAAAAATGAAGTACTAATAAAAAAATTTCACTCCCAAGAAAAATATAGTTTTAAATTTTTTTAATTTGAAATATTATTATGTTAATAGAAATACATGTAAAGATTTTATAAAAAATACAGATTTTTTATTAGAGTTCTGGTTTTTCTTTCAGGAGAGTTGGTCACCTTATGTTAGGCATCAGTGATTGGTTGATTTCAATATTTAATGTGATTTAAAGCAATAGTGTTTTAAATTGGAAAAAAGTAAGGTAGAGATTTCCAACATAATATGTCAAAAAATTCTAACTCTAAAACGCCTTTATCAATCTTTATGAAATTTTATAAAAATTCTTCAACTTATATCTCAGTTTACGTGTTCGAGGGTTTTTCGAAAAAATATTTTTAAAGCCCTTTAGTTAAATAATAAAAAAACGTTATAAAAAAACTTTTAGAGAATTTTTTTTAAGTAAATTAAAAATATGGTGTAAAGACCGTATTTTTGTTATTATACCCTAAAAGTTTTGTACAAATCAAACGAACAGTAAAAAGCTACAGAACTTCAAAGTCGGTAAAAATTACTCCTTTTTGATTATTTTACTGAAAAATTGTCATTTTTGACGACTTTGAAGCGCTGTATTTTCGTTACTGTTCGTTTGATTTGTATAACATTTTCAGGGTTTACTAACAAAAATATGGTCTTTAACAAAGTATTTTTTATTTACTTCAAAAAAAATTTCCCTATAAAAACTTTTTTCGAGCGTTTTTTATTATTAAGGGGCTTTAAGGATATTTTTTCGAAAAACCCTTGAACGCGTAAACTAAGATATGAGTTAAAGTATTTTTATCTAAAATTTTATAAAGATTGGTAAAGGCGTTTTAGAGTTGATAAACGTTGATAATGGGCCTTAAATTTACCTTAATGCAGTCCTGTACTTTCTAATCATGCATTTACTATTAGGCAACCAAACATACAACACTTTGACACTTGCATAATGCACCCAGTATACACCAGAGATATCTCTGGTATACACTTACGAAACATAACCTTATTTTAACATGTTTACTTAGAAGAACGAAAAACTAATATAAACAGCAATAATGGCCCTTAAATGCGGTAATATAAATGTTATCGACTTATTCGAAAGTAAAGATTTAGTAAAAATATGTGCTCCTATGGTGAGATATAGCAAGTAAATATTAAAACACTAGGTAAATAAATAAATAAAATATTAACAATTTTAATTTTTAGATTACAATTTAGAAATTTAGTAGGTTTATATGGCTGTGATTTAGCATTTACACCTATGATTTTAGCAGATTCTTTCTGTAAAAGTGAGAAAGCGAGAAATAATGAGTTTACTACAAATAATGGTAAAAATTGTTTATTGTTAACATGTTATTTTACCGTTGAGTGAAGAAGTCACACCTTAATCAATGGTTTTAATATAAGTAATACAAATAATTTTTAGCTGATTTACCTGTGATAATACAATTTGCTGCAAATACTGTGCATGATTTTGTTGGGGCAGCCTGTTTAGCATCTCCGTAAGTAATTTTTATACTGGGTGATTCCCCATTTTATATTTTTCTTAACCATAGTTATTCAAAATTATTTTTGTAGGTTTTGTAATGGAGTAGATTTAAACTGTGGTTGTCCACAGACTTGGGCTAAAAAAATGGGCCTAGGCTGCTCAATGCTCAATGAACCTGAATTAATTTTTAATATAGTAAGACAATGTAGAAATCAAATTTCCAAACCATTTACTGTGAGTGTTAAAATGAGGATCAACAAGAACATCAGGTAATATAAATTAAAAAATTAAAGAAATATTTCTAAAATAATGTTTTTCTATAGTAAAACTGTAGATATCTGTAAGCAGTTAGAAATGGCAGGTGCAAGTTTTTTAACAGTTCATGCCAGAACAGCCGATCAAAATACAGGAGATATAAATTCAGAGGCTTTACGATTGTTAACTAGTCAGGTTAAAATACCCATAGTAGCAAATGGAGGTGTAAAAACATTGGAAGATTGTTATAAGTTACAGGAAAAAACCAATTGCAAAGGTATTTTTAAACATATTAAGGTTTTACATTTTAAAATAATAAAATATTATTGTCTATTTTTTAGGTGTCATGGTAGCAAATGGTATATTAAACAACCCAACAATATTTATGGGTAATTCCATAACTTCAATGGAATGTATTCAAAACTGGGTCAACATTTGTTATAACAGCACTTTTCAAAACATTGAAATGTTACAACAAAATGTAAAACCTGTTTTTGATGAAAAACCTTACAACCTAACTTTTCAATGTTTTCATCATCATTTAGTTTTCATGCTTGACAAAATATTGTCCAGAAAACAAAAACAAGTTTTTAATAACTTTCAACATTTTCAAGAAGTTTTAGGTTTTCTTAAAACTAGTTTTGGTATTGTTCCCAAACACTTTAACAATGACATGTATGACCATTTTAAATTAATAAAAACAGATTATAGTAATAGAGATCAGGTTTATAATAAACTAAAACCTAATGATATCAATAAAATTAAAGATATTTTATATGATTGTGAGAGCAATAAAGGAAAATATTTTAACAGCAAAATACAGGAAAATGAAAATCAATTTTGTGATTTGTCAGGAATGTTTTTGGAAAATGGTTAAAAATGTTGTACCTAATACACTTAATAAAAATATAGTTATTGTTTCTTATAAAATATACAGTAATTATAATAAACAAAAAATTAAAAAATCCTAGGTACCTTGATGTCCAAATTCGTTTATATTTCTTGATATTTTTAGGACACCCCTTTTTAAAATCCTGGATCCCCCCTGATCCTGACATAAACATATATGTAGGTATATATGATGTCTCCTAACCCAGATAACATTCGTGAGTTCACCGTGAATGCACGGTGAAAAATATTGCTTCACGCGTGAATTCACGGTTGCTAAAAGATGCGTCCGCCCCTGGAATTCACCGTGAATGCACACGTGAAGATATATCCGCCCATTGAATTCACCGTGAATGCACACGTGAAGATGCGTCCGCCCCTTAAATGCACACATGAATTCACCGTGAATGCACACGTGAAGATGCGTCCGTCCCTTAAATTCACCGTAAATGCATGCGTGTTCTAAATTCGCGCGAAAAAAATGAAATATGGGTGCATGTTCAGAAAACATATTTTCCCCTATATAGTAAAATAAGTTTTCTGAACAAAAAATGTGCATTCACCATAATTTCAATTTTTTCGCGCGAATTTTAGCATGCATGCACACTCACTTCGAGCTTCACTTGTGCATTTACGGTGAATTCAAGGGCAGGACGCATCTTCGCGTGCGTATTTACGGTGAATTTCGTGCGTATACTCAATTTTTTTTGCACTTAATTTTAAATTGGAACACAAAATAAAACGTGTTATTTTTTAAAATACTTAACAGATTTTGTTATATTTGTAAATAAAGTCAAATGAAAAATGTTAAATAAAGATGTGATTTATGTCCAATTGGAGAATATTTTTTTAGACAATTATGCCATCCACGCCGACGGTGGTCTAGTGGTTAGTGCTGCTGACTACAAGCCGGAGGTCGTGGGTTCGAATCCCACCAGGGGTATGGCTGTTTATTTGTGTTTGTCCTATTGTGTATTAGTCCTTCGAAGGAGACTTTAAACCCGCGGTCCGTTCCTACCCCTAACCGGCACATGCCATTCAGTTGGCTTATGGGACTTCTTAAGAAGTATAAACTTTGTATAATTAAACTTGAGGTACAATAGTATACTGAAATAAAACACAAAGTGTTATGTTGTAAAGTTTATTCCGAATCAACCTCAGAGGTTTCAATGTCCTCTTTAACCTTAAAAAAAATATCAATAATACTAATTAATGAGTATAATACTGTATAATATTTTATTATAATATACAGGGTGTTTCATAATATATGCGCAGGACTTCAGGATGTGATAGCTTATCCAAAAAGATGAAAAAAGTCGCTATTAAGTTAGGCTCTAAAATGCACAATTTTCGAGATACAGGGTGTTGAAATTTTAGAAAAAAATTCGGTTTTTTTCGAATATCTCCGGAACCGTTCATCGTACAAAAAACAGCTTTTGTAAGCATTTTCTGCTCAAAATAAGCTATGTTTTGTGCTAGAAAAAAAAAATTTTTCTTATAATTGGTGGAGATTTTGAAGGGGTAGCGGGTGTTTTTCTCCTCAACTTCTACGCCCCTGAAAAAAGTACGGTTTTGAGAGGCCCATTTGAACCGCCAATGTTTTCTACACAAAAAAGGTACTCCTGGTCATAAGCTCTAAAGTTGACCGTTTTAGAGAAAAATCAACTTTTATGTTTAAAAACATGGTCAATTTAAAAAAAAATATTTTATTTTTGCTAATTAAACAAAATTTATTTTAACGTTAGGACAAGTAACAAAACCAAACCATAATTGCAAAATAAAAAATGATTTAAAAGTTGTCTTTGCTTAATTCTCCAAACCGTAAAGGTAACGCATTTCGCACATTTCAGCATTTGAGTAAAAAATCATTTTTTATTTTTTTTTTTAATTTTGCAATTATCGTTTGGTTTTGTTACTTTTTCTAACGTTAAAATAAATTTTGTTTAATTAGTAACAAAAAAATTTTTTCAAAAAATTGACCATGTTTTTAAACATAAAAGTTGATTTTTCTCGAAAACGGTCAACTTTAGAGCTTATGACCAAGAGTACCTTTTTTTTGTAGAAAACATTGGCGGTTCGAATGGGCCTCTCAAAACCATACTTTTTTCAGGGGCGTTGAAGTTGAGGAAGTTGAGGAGAAAAACACCTGCTACCCCTTCAAAATCTCCACCAATTATGAGTAAAAAAAATTTGTTTCTGGCACAAAACATAGCTTATTATGAGTAGAAAATGCTTACAAAAGCTGTTTTTTGTACGATAAACGGTTCCAGAGATAATCTAAAAAAACGATTTTTTTTCTAAAATTTCAACACCCTGTATCTCGAAAATTGTGCATTTTAGAGGGTAAGTTAATAGCGACTTTTTTCATCTTTTTGGATGAGCTATCACATCCTGAAGTCCTGCGCATATATTATGAAACACCCTGTATATTATGTATCACATATATGAAATTACATCTACAGATAAGTATACTTACTGATTCATCACTGGACACATCATCAAATGAGTCAAATAACTCATCATTTTTTCCCCTTATTTTAATTTCTTTTTGGTCCTTAAAAAATATATAAATTATAACATTATTATTGGATTTAAGCATTTATTTACAAGACTCATTTTATAAAATTTAATAAATATTATTTAAAAAAACGCTTAGAACAAAAAAAAATATTTGTTTTTATGTATAAAGAAAAGTCTTGCGATAGCTAATAAAAATATTCTGTATTAATTAATTATTTCATTTATTTTATTGATTAAAAAATTCTAAAATATTTGTCGACTGTATATTTACTAATAAAAATATTAAAATGGATGTCATATTTTGAATTCAAATAAAAACAAATCATTCAAACCAATTCAGCCGAGCGCGGCTTCGACTCATGAGGCGGAGCCTTGCAGTAAAAAATTAATAATGTTTAAAGAAATGCCGGGCAGTGAAATTTTTTTTTCAGGATATGAAACCTTTATATCCAGTACATGCAACCATGAAAAAAACTTGATTATTTGATAGAGACTTTATCAAAAATTTGAATTGTATATTTCAATGATCAAAAAAAGTATAAAAAAATTTAAAAAAAAGTCCTGAAAATTTCACTACGAAACTTTTAACAGTTTTTTCACAATGAATTTTTTAATTAAAAGTGAGAAAAATCTTTGTTACAAAAAAACTGTTAAAATTAAAATAAAAAAAAATATATTTTAAGGAAATATTGATACTAATGACTACTAACGATTGATGTAGGTATTAAAATTTAAATTCTATTACCAAGTGGAAAATGGGGGGTCCACTTGACGTGATCTGACTCAAAAACAAAAACAATGAATAAAAACTTTATAAAAAAATATAACCACAATTAAGCATTATAAGTTATGCAACGGTTTCGGGTTTTACGGTTACGGTTACGGTTACGGTTAGCTATACGGTTACGAATAAATTCACGGTTATTAAAAAAAAAATTACAGAATTACGAAAAATAAAGTTTTGAAATTAATACACACGTTCAGTAAAGGTTAAATAATAATTTATGTAAAACAAAAACAGAATTTCTAATAAAACTGTAAAACAATAGGAAATGAGTTACATTTTAAACCTAAAAACAGTAAACTTTACTGAGTAAAGTAAAACCAAAGTAGGTACCTGAATAATATATTTAAAAATATAAAAAAATTAAATGTTAATTCAAAATAATTCAAAATTCAAAATTTACGAGTCAAATTTTTATTTAAAAAACATAACATCTGTAAATTCTGCGAAATCAGCCTGTTCCTATTTGGTGTTTGCACAAGACCTGCAGTCGAAAACAACATCTCCGAATTCACTGACAATGGTTTGTATAATACCTTAGTGCCAACACTCTTAAACAAGTACAAGTAGCATGAAAAACCGTAAATACGGTTACGGTTAACGACATACGGTTACGGTTAACCGTATAATATCGAAAACCGTGAATTAACCGTAACCGTAACCGTAACCGTTGCAACACTAATTTATATATATATATTATATATATAATTTATAACCATGGTTATTCATTGTTTTTGTTCTTTTTGCAATAATTGTAACAATTATTATTAGTGCACTGATCTAATATACCTAGTATATATACAATAAAATTCTTATCTTAAATTTGATCATGCTAAAATATAAAAATGTCAAACTTACCTTTGGAATTCCTGGCTAGCAACTTAAGTATTTATTGAACTGAATACCAATATATTATAAAACTGAAAAACTGAACCAAGATACATACACCTTGAAACTGAACGTTTATCTCTGAACCATAGAAAAAGGATATGAACTGAACGTTTTACCGGTATACAGGATATCTAGCTAGATGTTTACCATATATGGTATTCTATAGAAAACCTCGTGGCTCTTAGCTGCGTACGCACACTAACGCTGCAGTGTTGCCGGATTGCAGCCGGATGATTTTCGTGAAAGTTCCCGACCAAAAATTACAAAATACTAGAAATTACACACACGAGTAAACATTTCTAGTACATTTGCACAATTTGGAAAAGTGAATTAAATTTTGAATAAATTAAGAGAAAAATAAAAGGATATAATTAAAGAATTATGTTTAGTTAGTAGTTATACAATATTATTTACTGAAAATTTCTTTGAAAAGTAAAATTTATAAAATACCTGCTTCAATATTTTACTTGCAAGCATGATGAAAAACGCGATTTTCGGGTCAAATACCTGCAAGCGGCAACCCTGCATTTAGTTGAAATGTGACGGCCATAGGCGCATGCGCACGAGTGCCCGCGTATTTGGTTTTGCAATTATTATATATAATTATTATTACCTATAGGTATATTAAATATTAATAACTGATATTAATTAAAAAATGTACTTTTTTATTTTCCGTTTAATATTTAATAAAAATCTTTAATTAATATTCCTTTAATGTTATGTTTTCTTTTTCTTATTTCGAATTCGGTCTTCAAATTTATTTTGATAGGGTAGGTATACCTTCCCTATCAAACAGAGGTATAGCTAACCTATCAAAATAAATTT